AAGAGGTCACATTGGAAGTTGAAGACTCAGATGAATCAAAGGATGTTAGGAAGTATTTCTTCAGTCATAGAGTAGTCAAGTCGTGGAATAGTCTAGAAAGTGAAGTAGTGGAGGCGGGAACCATACATAGTTTTAAGGCGAGGTATGATAAAGCTCATGGAGCAGGGAGAGAGAGGACCTAGTAGCAATCAGTGAAGAGGCGGGGCCAGGAGCTATGACTCGACCCCTGCAACCACAAATAGGTGAGTACAAATAGGTGAGTACACACACACACGCACACACACAACAGCAGCCAACATGGTTTCAGGGATGGAAAATCCTGTGTCACAAACCTACTGGAGTTCTATGACATGGTGACAGCAGTAAGACAAGATAGAGGGGTGGGTGGATTGCATATTCTTGGACTGCAAGAAGGCGCTTGACACAGTTCCACACAAGAGATTGGTGCAAAAACTGGAGGACCAAGCAGGGATAACAGGGAAGGCACTACAATGGACCAGTGAATACTTGTCAGGAAGACAGCAGCGAGTCATGGTAACGTGGCGAGGTGTCAGAGTGGGCACCTGTGACCAGCGGGGTCCCACAGGGGTCAGTCCTAGGACCAGTGCTGTTTCTGGTATTTGTGAAGGACATGACGGAAGGAAAAGACTCTGAGGTGTCCCTGTTTGCAGAGGACGTGAAGTTGATGGAGAAGAATTCACTCGATCGAAGACAGGCAGAACTACAAAGGGATCTGGACAGGCTGCAGACCTGGTCCAGCAATTGAGCCCTGGAGTACAATCCCACCAAGTGCAAAGATTGGGGAGGGCAAGAAGACCGCAGACGGAGTACAGTCTAAGGGGCCAGAGACTACAAACCTCACTCAAGGAAAAAGATCTTGGGTGAGTGTAACCCCCAGGCACATTCCTGAAGCGCACATCAATTAAAATAACTGCCTGCAGCATATGGGCCCATAGCAAACCTCAAACAGCATTCCGACATCTTAATAAGAATCGTTCAGGACCCTGTACACCGTGTACGTTAGGCCTCATATTGGAGTAAGCGGCACCAGTTTTGGAACCCACACCTAGCCACGCACGAAAGAAACTAGAGAAAGTGCAAGGTTTGCAACAAGACTTGTCCCAGAGCTAAGAGTATGTCTACTACGAGGAGAGGTTAAGGGAAATCCAAACCTGATCAGACACTGGAGGATTGAGCAGATAGGGGGGACAATGATAACGAATACAAAAATACTGAGAGGAATGACAAGGTGGACAAAACAGATATCCAGAGATTGACCAGTAACAAGGGGACACATTTGGAAGTTGAAGACACAGATGAATCACAGGGATGTTAGGAAAGTATTTCTTCAAGCCACAGAGTTAGCAGTAAGTGGAATAGTTTGGGAAGCGATGTAGTGGATGCAGGATCCATAATAGCTTTAAGCAGTAGTATGATAAAGCTCACGGTTCAGAGAGTGACCTAGTAGCGAATCATTGAAGAGGAAGGGCAGGAGCTCTGACCGACCCCCGCAACCTCAACTAGGTGAGTACACACACGCACACACACTCACACACACGCACACACGCACACACACACACACCACAACCACACACACACACACATGCACACCACGGCACACACACACCACACACACACAACACACCACACACACACACACACACACACACAAGCATTAAAACAATCTACTGCTGCCCACTGCAATGAAGAATCGTTAGGTTTTTTAAAGCGTTTGAGTGAGGAACAACTTTTATAACTTGTTAATGAGTTTGAGTGTGTAATGTGAATGAAGAACACTTTATAACAGTGTTAATGAGTCTGGTGTGTATGTGATGAAGAACACTTGATAACAGTATTAGTGATGATTTCTAAAAGGTGGCCCTTCTACAGAGCGGGGTCCAGTTTTCCCTGAGCCGTACTTCTACAGAGCGGTCCTCCTGAAAAGCTTCTACAAGTGGCTCCCTTTTCACACCTAATGCTAATGACCATGACCCCACCACGACCCCCACCCACGACACCACCCACGACCCCACCCCCGATCCCTCCACCCACGACCCCACCCACGACCCTCCACCCACGACTCCACCACACGACCCCACCACGACCCTCCACCCACGACCCTCCACCCACGTCCCCACGGGACCCCCACCGCCACCCCCCGCCCCTCGCGCCGAACCCCCGCGCCTGCCGCGACCCTCGCGCCCGCCTGCGCCCCCTCGAGCCCCGCGCCCCTAGGGCCCAGGCCCAGCGCCTTCTGCTGTGCTTTTGCAGTGTCCGTCCAGATCGCCCCAGCGCCCCGAATTTTTTTCGGATTTTTTTTCGAATTTTTTTTTTAATTTCATTTTCTTGTGGTCTCCTCGGATCAAATTTTTGAGGTACTTTCTCTTACTACAGGTCTAAACATGTGTGACGTCACCCCACCTGTGTTTACTACTCGGCGTCAGTGACGTCCACGTGATGACCTCACACATACAGGCTGAATCTTGTCGACTTCCCCCTGTGTCCAGTGACGTCACGTGATGACCCCGCACACAGGCTGAATCTTGTCGACTTCCCCCTACACATTTCATGTACAGCATAGGGAAAACATTTTCACTCTTAAAACCTCAGGACAACCCACATGATTTCACATTTCAGGATAACACTAATACACATTATTTTCATTATTTATTCAATACAACCATTACATTTCATATACATTTCGGTAATAACAACATGGAATCACTCTATTCTCCTACGTTTAGATGGTGAATTCGGGTGTCCATAAGCTAAGGATTTTTAGTATTCAAATGAAACCTTTATCATCTAAGGCTGACAAGCCTCTCTTGTTAATTCTTACTGTACATATTCAGTCTTTTACGTTAGTTATAACTTACACGTGAATATAGTCTCTATCTACATTTGTTTAAAACATCCTATACTTGCATATTAATAATGGCATAAAATGCGAAGGGATACCCTTGGCTCTGCTGACAGTAGTTGATCTTCCAGCAATCTTTGACAGAATACATTATAGCTCAAGGCTATCACTCACTAATATGTTTATCACATAAAAACATTTTCTTCAGATTTCAATCACCCCAGCTCAACCTTTTTCTACTATAATCATATAAGATGATCACGACTGAATATTGAAAAATCCATATAACCTAACAAAGGTACACTTTTTATTCGGTGTAACAAATCTTTACATTTCAAGCGAAAAAATAAACAGTCAGTATCGTATAAAGAAGTCTTACATCACACCAAATGTTTGTTTTAAAACTTTATAAATTAACCAAAAATAGAACAATTTCTTTTTAGGCTATCTCAAGATTTTGAAACCGAGATAATGTGGTTGTTTAACTTCTAATTTCTCTTTTTAATGAACAAATCACTCTATCCTTTGATTCAAATGTGTATATTTTTAAGAAAGGTTCTTTACTCGCTCTAACAAATGCTTTCTCATTATTGATATATCTATAATATTCAGCATACTTTGTAATATTCAACAATGATTTCCCATATATGGCGTTATTAGTTAATTTGAAGGCTTTTGACTTGATAGGACATCGTGTAGCTGTTCTCTGTGCAATATTAGTTGTTATGAAAGGTTCTAAAAATTTTGACTGAGTATATTCATATACTGCATGCACCTTTTCCACCTCTAACCCCAATTCCAGTAATAACTGTAACAAATCTAGACTGATCAAATAATTTTTCTGAGGTAAATGACTGGCCACTAATTTCGCATTAGATTTGGGGATCTTTCTACCTTCATTTTTCAATATAGATTCACAATAAGGAGGTAACATCTCTTCTGATATATTCATGTGTGATAATATCAAAGGAAGTTCATCAGTACGTCTAGCTACCTCAGGGGACATGGGTTTGGTATCACATTCTATCCAATATCCCTTTTGTCTCATCTTATCCTCCTCTGTCATATGGATTACATGATACTCTCTTCTATACTTTATTTTAGTCCATTCACCACTAACATTTAAAATGAAATGATTAACAGCATCCTCCCCCTTATAACTCTTCATACACACTATTTCTCCTTTGCGATCAAATATAATATAACAATAGGCAATAGCTTTATGACGAGACTCAATTTTACCTGCCGGGAGAGTGGTATCTAATGCACATTCGAAATCAAATACACCGATATATTCGCTGGAATGTGTATGACTAAAATTTTTAAAGTGCACTGTTGTTCCTTCCTGGGGAATACGAGAATCTGATTGATTTTACATCCATCTTCGTGAATATCTAACTCTTCCTGTGTATTCAACTTCATCAAACAACTATGACAGCGCTTCTTTTCACCTTTTTCTGACATTATCGTTCTAACATACCCGTCAAAATCTTTGATTAAAACCAAATGACTTTCATTCAACAATAACGCACACATAATGTCCTTATATTTCTTATTCCCCTTACGACACATAGCCACAAATGTCCCACCTTGATCCTTTCTTAATTGATAAACATATAATGACACTTTATTTTCCTTTTCTAATATACCTAACTTATCACGTGTAATGGGGAAATCATCTATAGAAGATTTTGCATGATTAAGACATCTTTCCTTAGTATTAACTGCTCTGGGGATATGTTTCCATGACATGTTCTTTTTATGACATTGATAGGCAGCAAAAGCACGCAGTACACACATCACATCATTAATCACTGGATTAAATACATATTGGCTCCCTCGCAGTTTCTTGGGATATGCCACATATGATCCTACTTTACTCTGAATTCTACTTTAACGTATTCGATACTGAAAGATTCGATTTGATCTATGATCCAACCAGATCCTTCCTGATCTTGCAACTCTGTCTCGTATCTTTCTAATATCGTTCCCACCCATCGATCAAATACTTCAGAGATTTCCTCTTCACTTACTAACTCAAACGCTAAATTTATCACAAATTGACCATTTTGATCATCACCCGATATGTTTTGACGTAATGTGCTTATAACTATAATCGGCTGGATTCTGAGCGACATTGCTAGAGGTGATCTATCATACATATCTCGCATCTGATCTGTAAAATAATCCTATAAGCATGTAAATACATTCTTAACTCCCTGTTGTAAGTTGAAGGAACACTATATTTCCTCACTGTATGTCTACCTCTAAAATTCTGGATGTATGTAATAATTTCTGGTCTCTCATCTTCACCTCCACTATTGTGTGCGACATTACTGTCAGACACGTCATGGGAGGTAGTTGCTCTCTCATCATCTTCATTAATGGGGATAGAAGTATCCACACCTCCTGCCGCACCTCCGCATTGTGAGGTACCAACACTAGCAGATCTACCTGCACTCTCATCTTCATTCCCCGTCGCACCTCCATGCTGTGCGACATTACTCTCAGTTTGATTCACAACAGTACCAGGTGTATTTCCTGCAGAGGAAAAAAAGTATATCCAATTCATAACCCAAAATATTTTTATATATTAAGATTTCAATGAATAGAACAAAATCTTTCACCCTTCTCAGTTTTTACATATACGAATTAAGATTTTAATGAATGGAACAAAAAAAATTCTTTCTCGAGTGACTAACTCATTTTTACGATAAATATTTTTCACAACAAAAGTAAAAAGATCACAATTGGATACATACCTGTTTCTACAGCCTTCTTCCATAATACATCTATGCGATCCCACTCATTCTTTAATTCTAACAACTTCTCATCACGATGTACACCACCTTTCTTGATTTCCAACGATCGTCGCCTTCTAATCGACAATCTCCTCTTCACTAATGCTTCCAAGTAATTCGCGTATATTATTTTCTTATCCTCTGTTAAGAATTTCACTTATTAACGCACTAACCCAGTAAAAATTTCACTCGTATGCTCCAACAACAAAAATTATCCCAAAACATTTTTTCCTCGTTATATCATTAAACTTGTTAAATAATATCTGTTTCACCACATATCAAGATTTTCTAAGTACAACTTACCTTTCTCCATGATGTGTGGTTCAGCGTTGGAAGATGAGGTCAGCCAGGCTTGACGGATGGAAACACAATCCTCGCTCTGAGAGACTCCTTGACCTTATATGGGTCACCCCAAAGTATTGCGTCATGATTTTTGTACACCCCTTCCCCCCTCCGACGACGCCATGAAATGCGGTTCACATCCAAGGTAGAAAATCACATAGTCATCTCCTTACCGAACACCTGCGTCAACTCAGGTCAGACAGACGCCATGAAATGCGGTTCACATCCAAGGTAGAAAATCACACGGCCATTACGTATCTCCTTACCGAACATCCGTGTCAATCGGTACCCTAAAGTAACTAATTTTGGTGAGGTAGTCCCGCTCCGCAACAGGAGGTTACTCCTCATTAACTTAGCTGTTATATATCTTGAAAACCCATTAACACTTACAGTGTACAAGTCACCTCTGTATGGTAAACATAATCTCTCTCGACAGTACAATGAACTTGACAACATACACATCGGCTGATGTTGATATATTTCGTTATCCATCAAGGATTATCATTGCCGGTTATTCGAATAGTGGCAAATCTTATTTCACATCAAAATTATTAAGTTATACCATGAAAATTTCATAACATTATAAAAATGCGGGGTGACATCACATCCCTTAGAACAAGATTCAGAGATATCTCATAAATTAACATTAAGTAAAGATATTATCGACCCACAGAATGTCATTGCATCATCCGATGAAAATACAATAATTATTGTTGATGATCTATTTTTAAAAGCTGGTAACAGTGAAATTATTCTCGAATGTTTTACTAAAGTAGACATCATAATATAAGCATTATTCTGATTACTCAAAATATATTTCACGAGGACGATATAGTCGTACCATGGCTTTAAACCCACGCATTTTGCTTTATTTAATATGAGGGATCTTGGACAAGTAGAGATTCTGGGGCGAAAGTTTTCGGAAAAATTAAGGAATTTGTAATATATATAAATTGCTATAAATCGACACCATTTGGTTTTTATGCATAGGACGTTGCATTATATACACCAGAGCATTACAGTTGCGAACCAATGTGTTACATAAGGATTCCTACGAAATTGTATACAAAAGGGCGAACAAAAATTAATTGAAAAGGTTTATAGAGTTCCTGGTTCTTTTGGCTCGTGTGGATCATTGTCTGGTTTGTTATAAACTGTTTATGTTAAGATGTAAAAAATATTTCCGTTCCATAACTGAAAGAGGTCAGATAAATTTTTAAATTCAGAAAGGGGATCATTACTTAATGTTCTTAAAACCTAAGAAGTTTCCTGTAGGAAAATAATTGCTCCCCAAAACCTAGCAGTTGATACTTAACCTGTGATTTGGGTGATTGTCTAAATTATCTAGATATAATGATGGATATAATACATTCTCGTGTGTATCGATGTTTTTTCTAGATTTTACAAGCAGTACCTCATGAAAAAGAAAGACGGACCGAGCACTTACCTGCATTACATAACATAATTGGAGAATGAAAAAGTGAAGAATTATCAGAGATTATTTACAGTTAAAGGCAGGGAGTTTCTAAATAAACATGGTACAGAATTTTCTACAGAGTGATGCATATAAAGTTTATCATGTTTTGCGAATGATAACAAAAGCTTTCTCCATTGCAGAGAGAGGCTTGCAAACGTTTGAAAACGTAATATGCCAAGTATATGACAAGTGCCAATACATTTAATTATTCACAAGTGTTATAGAATTGGGTAGATGGTATAATTCATAACCCTCACTCGGGGATTGTGGTAAAACCCCATTGCAAGTCCATGGTATACGACAATGAATGATATAAGGAATCAGTTTTGAATTAAATTATAAAAAAGGAAGATCAATAAGAAAGCGAATCATGTAAGAAATTGGTGTTGGAGACACAACAAGAGTGATTCTTAGCAGATCATCCGCGTTTAACGAGGGTCTTCACACACAGCAAATATAAAGAGGAAATATTTAAAATATATAGATAATTGGCAAGGTAATTTCACCTATAACAAAAACATTTCATTTGAAAGATTTAGAAAGGTTAAAAGTTTAAATGGAACTGTTATCGCGAAGATTGACCCAAGCCATATCACCTCGGAATTATTATCGACAGAGTATTGAAACGAAAAAAAAATTGTGGGAATTACGCATTATTTGGTATCTTATATAAAGGTTATTATTCCACACTTTTAATTCGTGGGTCAAGGAAAGAGATTTTTGAAAGGTACCAATGATAAATTCATTATTGAAAAATTTAAAGAAATTAATAATACATTACTTTAATTTTTTGAGTTTTGGGGTTTTATTTCCCATATGGACCAAATCAACGGCACGAGTTTTATTACAACAGTTTACAGAAAACACACATAAGTTGTATCAAGTGAGATTTCAAGAATTCTGATCAAGAATAAAAATACCATTAGACCCTAAATTTTTTCAAAAGTACAAGAACGTGATTTGATCTTTAGCTTGTAAGAAAATTGGTTTATCATCGTTTAAAAAGAAATATTTGCTATTTTTATTTCAAGATGGTTTAATAAAATCATGAAGAATTTAATCTTGTACCCAATCTTACTTATGAAACGCAACCCTCTCGATCAGTAAAATTGGGAGGGTGATGAGAATTTAGAAGGAGGAGGTGGATGCTTGAAGCGTGGTGATTAAACGCAAGATGATTAAGCGCAGTCCGTTGGGAAGTCAAACCCACCTGCTCTCATCCTCCGGTGAAACTCAGAAATCCCAGATTTGTCAGGATTTCATGCACAATAAGGGTGTGAGTGCGAGAAATATTGAAATATTGTGAAGTCAATGTTGGTAATTTATTGCCAAAGAAAGCCGTTTGGTGAGTTGGGATGAGAATGGTGACCTTTCTACCCCCATTACTGGACGTATTATTATTGAAATATTAAATGTTTTATCAGAAAACAATGTGAAATGAAAACAGCGAGAAGAATCGATTCTGATTTACTTAACAGAAAAATAAAGCATTTATTAAATATATCAGGTATACATGTTGATTTTGTGAGGAATACAATATGTGAGAAAAACAATTATTACATAAAGGAGGCGGTTAAGGAGAGGAATTCATCGTGGATAACATATTAGGTGAGTATATAAACTCTGTGATGATATGTTTTTGTATCGCTGTGTGTTATAAGAGTGTGGAGGGTTGAACGTTCTTTTAGACGTCTGTAGTGAGTCAGTCTTGAATTTATTTCCCGCCTAATACTCCTTCAGCTTTCATTGAATAAATTTTATTTTTTTACTTTTTATTAGATAATTAAAATTGATAATGAGGTTGCTCTGAAAAATATATTATTATCCCAAGACACAATTAAATATACATCGCAAAAGATTTGAAGATATGTATTAAATATGGAAATCTACATTAAATAAATATATCCATAATATGCTATGAGCAAAATTATTGGAGGTGAGTTATGACAAGGATTTTAGAGGCAAAATAAATGGAGAGATATTAATGTTAATCTGATTAATAGCAGTTTTAAACATTTATAACGGGTATTATCATCCCCAAAAACTCATTATTTGTGTTCACCATATCATCCAGGAATAAACGGTAGTTATTACTTGAAGAAAAAAAAACTTATACTGCCTTCTGATATTAATTGCGGATATGTGGGGTTGGAATTTGACAAGAAGAAGCGATATGTTAGGGTTCTCAGGTAATGACAATTTTGGATGTCTTTACTTTAAAAATGAGATTATTTTTAACGAGTCGGGTTGTGAGAGCGGTAAACCTACCCGATACCTGAACCTCAGCGTATTATTTATATGTTTAATATATAGTGATTTGATTGATCCCATTAATTTTGGCGATCAGTTGGTAATCTCTTTTGGGGAGTAGTGATATTAATACATTAAGATCTCATTATGATCCACAATGTACAATCCACATAATAAAAAGATAATTTGATCATGTGAGTATTAAGCGCGCGTGATCAGAAAGGATGGTTAAATTCAATATAATGACAAAGTGTTCTACTGTATGTGTACACATTTAGACCTATAAAACGAGATTGAATGATCAAGTTGAGTTAATATTGTACGACAACCGTCCAAGATGAGAAACCAGTTTCTCTCCTCCTTCAGTGGAGAATCATTCCTGAAACTCTTGTGATACTTCGAGGGTGAAAGGGGGGAGGTTTAGTTGATATTATATTATATAAGATAGGAGGGAGGGGGGAGGCATTTTGTTCATTTCTCGGTTGCGGAATATGACGAATAAGCCAATTACCATTCTTATTGAATTCCTTTGCTAGGGAAGTATTACAATACGGACAAAATGTGTTGAACGATGTTAATAATGTATTGCATTGAAAAATTCTGCGAGAATAGAGGCTCGGTAGAAACATTGAAGGTGTCGGACAGAAGTTATTAACCGGGGAAGTAGAAAGATTGGTTTGAAACTATTGAAATTTAATTAATAAAGGAAAAACTGGAATATTTAATGAATTTTAGTTTTTTTGTAATAACTGTCATATGTATCTACTCGTATGTTGGATGGTGTCTATACGTTACACAATGGGGGCTCAACGCCCCCTGTCCCCCAACTTAATCTCATTCCCTAACTGATGGAGGAAATTTTTTTTTTTTTTTTTTTTTTTTTTTTTTTTTTTTTTTTTGTTTTTTTCCCAAAATTTCCTGGACACGCCATTATTGAATCCTCATATCAGCTAGGACGCACCTGTGAAGATTACCAGTAAATCAGGGATCTGATTTAAATTTCTCGAATTTAGATTACAAAGTTCAGAGGTCATTTTTTTTAGATTTAAACGAGTCTGGCCTTGGAACATGAACATATTATAACAATTGAGGATGGGAGTGCACTGGGAGATGGAGATAAGGTCATATTTGTTAACTCTATAAGTCAGGAACAATTTCAAATCTGGCTGTTTGGATCTCAACATGAACAACTTATAGAATCAAATCATTTATTCATTATACTGGTCTATATTAAACTGCTTAAGCATTTTATACCCATCACAAAAATAGATACTCATTGGGGAGAATAACATTCTTTCGTAAATAAAGAAACAGATGTAGTTACTATTAAATCAGCTGATTTAGATGATATTAAGAAAAGTCGAAGGTAAATTAACGAATGCAATGTGAATTTTGTTTCCCTTTGAAGCATGATTGTGAGTAGTTTTCACGAATGTATCCTGGATTAGTGTCCAATGTCGATTGAGACTTCGAAATGCATTCAACCCGCAATGGGTAATTATGACTACCATTAAGCGGAAAAAACATATAATTATAATATTAATTCCATTAAATTATGGTTCCGATAAAGCTATTCCGTATACGAATGCATTAATTGATTGAATTCAAGGCTTAGAGGGGCAAACCCGCAGGGGTGTGAATATTTGTTCAAGAAGACATTATTTAATCATATTTTTTCTGACAACTAATCAAAAACACAATTCGAGGCAGATAATCCTGGGGGACAAGTTCCTACCCGATAAGATATTTATATATTAGTTGATTATGAAGACATATGATGGAGGATATAATTTTAAAATCATTATATTTTTCAACAATGATGATTTGAATCATTTCGGGGTTACAATTATTCAGATATGATTCTTAATATGACTGTAAGTTTCATTATACCCACGCGAGTAGGTTATAGTTCGCTACCTTGAATCTTGGGTTTGTGAGATGACATAATCTGATTACATATAAGAGTTTTCTCCAAGGCAGAACTTTTTAGGTGTTGTCTGAGGAAGTTGAACAGATCAAGAATGATATATCTGTCGAGAAGAATGTAATCTGAGAATAGATATGACATTTTTAAACCGAAAGTTGAGAATAGGAATTTGTCTGAGTTTGGTGAAACTATTTTAATATAAATGAAATAGAACAGTGCGATTAGTGCATACGCGAGTATAGATCATGATTCGTGAGAAATAAATGTGCCTTGAAACATCAAAACGGGGAAGATTGGCCTAGTATTTGGGATGTTTTGCCGCAAAAATAATATAAATGAAGTTATTATGAGGGATAAAAAGATTAAGACGGTAATTTCATCATTAATTTATTGAACCGAATCAAAGATGATAATTTGGCTCAATTGGATTACTTATTTGTGAACAAACACATATTAATTATATTTAGATTGTTTCGGATGTGGATTTTAATAAATTATACAAATATATATGAGAAAAATTATATACAAGAGAAAATTTCAAATGTACGGTAATTAATCAGAGGATTTCAAATGAAAAATAATTGTTGTGCCGATCTTATATGCTATATATTTTGTGTAATAAGTTAACAATTATAGGTAAAGAAATTTATACCATATTTGTTTAAAGATTTTGGTTAGAAATAATTTAAAGACATGGACCAATTTAAAATGAAATATGCATATAAAACATTTCAATATACCTTCATGTTCAGTGTTTATTTGCAAATAATTCACACTGGAATTATGAAAATCTGTGTAAAATATTTGGAATTATCGTTACGGTGGGTTGAGGCGTTTAGAGGCGGGGCAAATAAGGTTATAATAACGCTGCTATATTATTTTATTATTATTATTATTATTATTATAATCAGGGGGGAAGCGCCAAACGGAGGATTCACAGAGCCTGGGAGGGGATGTGGAAGGCATTCAGGGATTAATTCGTGCGGAAACTGGGCACAGATCCAATTCCCTAATATCAAGAGCCCTCACCAACATCAAGGAAACCTTCCTTCAGGGGAATGGAAACGCCTGCATTATAAATGACTGTGGCTGGGAGTCACTGTTTGATCTACTGTCCATTCAAGTGGTTTACAAGGATGAATCCAATTCAGTATCCCGTTGGAGGTGTCTGCGAGGGGAGAGAAGACTGCATCCTGTGTATGTTGGAATAATTCCTCCTGCGGTAATGGTAAGTGATTTAACCGAGTTAATATGAAAAATCGTTTTACACATAAATGATTTTAGAATGTGTAATGTATTAACCCAATAAAACTTTTTTAATGCAATTAAAGATACGCCTTATTTTCTTCTAATGCAGAATTTTTTTTCTTTGCACAGATACGGAATATAATGCGGTTGTTGGAATTATTCGCGCAAATCAATCCGACAGGAGCAAATGATTTGCGAGTTAGATGGGATTTAGGAGCGAGATCCACCCAGCTCTACCCATCCATATGGAGATGCTGTTGCTGCCCCTCCTAACCTACGAGACTTCTCCCCGACTCTCATGTGGGATGTTGAGAATGTGCCTCATACTCACCGGGGGTTGATGTTAACGCTTTTAATCCAGGATATTGGAACTCCTTACCAGCCGAGATCGTACACTTCTCCCCAGTCTCATATGAGTGTGAGAAGGTGTTAGTAGTTGTTATTGCTTAAATGCGTTATGGAGCGAGATGGAATATTTTTGACAAATTCCCAACCTACTTATGTATGGATGAGGATTCCCCATTTAAATTATCCGTCAGCTTCCCCATAAATTTCCACTAGCTTTCCCCGGATGAGGATTCCCCCATTTATTATTCCACCAGCTTCCCCCAAGAAGGTTTATTGTACAATGAGGAGAAGACGACGACCCTGAACAAAATGCCCACAGAAATTCTCACAAGGAGAAGAAAAATTACTCTAAGTTGATTTTAGTCAATGAATTGTAGCTTTTCAATGAAATTGTATTTGTTTGTATTACCCGATGTGTTAATGACTGTATATAAATAATGCGAAAAAAAATATTGTGTATGAGTGTTTCCCTGTAATGTGTCTTTCTGGTGATGAAATGTTTTCACGCTATGATGTAGGATACTATATCCCCCTTATTAATTTAATGACAACTAATAGAGTCGTTCATGATTCTACTGTGTCCGCGCGTGACGTCACTACTGTCACCTTATTAACTTTAATGAACTAAAAGGCTCGACAAGTTTCAGCTTGTGTGCGCGGTCATCACGTGACGTCACTGACATAGGGGTAAGTCGACAAGATTCAGCTTGTATGTGTGACGTCACTGACCGCCGAGTAAACACCCTTCTTAGTTCATTTGACTTGTTTAGACCTGTAGTAAGCATGCCCCCATAGGAGGAGTCTATTTTGAATGCTTACCCCCAGAGGGGGGGAATCCAAAAATCCTTGATCCAAGGAGATGGAGGAGAAATACTTGGACATAGAGGGTAGAAGTGGATGGTGGGGGAAATCTTTGTAATATTGATATCGAGAAAACTTGATCCAAGGAGATCATAAGAATTTCGAAACCCCCATAGGGGGGAATCCAAAAACTTGTATTATCGAGAAATTTTTGGGGTTGGGGGTGAAAGTGGGAGGGGGATCCAAGGAGCTGGAGACTTTGATTTCGAGAAAAATTTGATCCGAGGAATTGGAGACTTTGATTTCGAGAAATTTTTGGGATGGGGTGAAAGTGGGAGGGGCAATCCAAAAAAAAACTTGATTCGAGGAGATCATAAGAATTTCGAAACCCCATAGGGGGGAATCCAAAAACTTGGTAATATTGAGAAATTTTTGGGGGTTGGGGGTGAAAGTGGGGCGGGGGGAATTTCGAAAACCCCATAGGGGGGAATCCAAAAACTTGTAATATCGAGAAAAATTTGAGGTGGGGGGTGGGTGAAAGTGGGAGGGGTAATCCAAAAAACTTGATTCGAGGAATTGGAGACTTTGATTTCGAAAAAAAATTTGATCCGAGGAGATCATAAGAATTTCGAAAACCCCATAGGGGGGATCCAAAAACCTTGATCCAAGGAGATCATAAGAATTTCGAAAACCCCATAGGGAGGAATCCAAAAACTTGTATTATCGAGAAATTTTTGGGGTTGGGGGGTGAAAGTCGGAGGGGGAATTTCGAAAACCCCATAGGGGGGATCTAAAAACCTTGATCCGAGGAGATGGAGAGCACAAGAAAATAAAATTCAAAAAAAATTCGAAAAAAATCGGAAAAAAAATTCGAGGCGCGGGGGCGATCCAGACGACGCTGCAGAAGGCGCGGGCGGGGGTCGCGAAGGGCGCGGGCGGGCGCGCGGGCGGGCGCGCGGCGCGACGGGGGGGGTCACGAAGGGGGGTCGTGGGCGGGGGTATTGGCTGGGGGGTCAAGGGTGAGGTAGTCTCGAGGGCGAGGTCAAGATCAAACCGGAAGTAACACCTAGGTGTGAAAAGGGGACCCTCCAGTCGCTGGTCCTAGACCGGATACACCGCTCAGCCGCACCCCTAAACCGGAAGGGTGCGCTCTGTAGAAATTATGACTACTCATATCATATGATAGGTTATGAATAATAACAGGCAAATATTTACCTGAAATTTTCTGTCTTAAATTGCAATTATTGCAGAGGGCTCCTAAATAATTAGCCTTAGGCATAAGATGGTCATGATGCCTCACATTTGGTTTGGTAAGAGTAAAGTCCTGATGACAGAAGTTGCACTTCTTCTGTATGGCAAAATGTATATGCTGCTCCCTGGTCATATGAAGTGGATAACAGGGAGTGTTCATCTTTATCCAATCCCATAAAGACGAAAGTCTATCATACATATGATCAATACACTGTACCCCCCGATGGACATATCTATCTATTATAGTGTTATTTCTGTCTATCACTATATAGCCATAAGCTATTGCTATGTGTCTAGCTGTTATTACCCCCTCTGGCTTACGATTATCGAGGTAAGCTTCTAAATCCACAAAGGCAGTATGAGAAAGGGGAAGTAGCCCTTGTGAGTATTTTTGAATTTGCAAACTCTTCCAGCTGGGGGAAAAATCAACTTTTGTTGGTTGTCACATGAATTGAAGTGAGTTTTTAAGTTGCAAATGTCACTATATTCACTTAAACAATTCAAGCAAAAGTGCTTATTGCGTGAATGTTTTCTCGAGAAAATTCTCATATATTTCTGGAAGTGTTTGATTAAAGCTATGAGTCTTTCCCAACAATAAAAAGGGGCACTACCAGTGAATATTTATTACTACCCCGACGACATAAAGTAGCATGATAGGTCCCTTCATGAGAAGTTAAGCAATAAATAAATATTGATATTTTGTTGTCAGACTCGAGTTTGTGGATGTCACTCCACTGGACAGGGAGAGTCAGTCGCGAGTAATTGACAAATTTCTGAAGGCTATCACATCTAGATAAATATCGTCTGATTTTTATACCAGCCCCAGCCAAGTCTACGACAGAAAAAGGCCGCCAGAGATTTAATAAAACAGCTATTTTTTACTCCTCGGGTTAAATATCTGATTTTTCCCTCGTAAAAAAGATGTGGGATATTCTATATAGTCTCCTAGGTATCCACGCACTCCATTCTTGCATATTACAATATGAAAACCCTTTATATAATCTAGTATGAAGCCTGATCCCCCCGCCCGATGAAATTTCAGTTTCTAATCGCGTGCTAAGGTACTCCCTCCATGACCGTAAGAGCCGAGATATATCATCTCGTGTAACTAGTTGCGCGGGAAAAGTTATATAATGCTCACGACTCTCATCCTCTCCCAGTAGTGACTGTCTGCGTAGAATAAGCCTCAGTTCGGCATAAATCCTAAGAGCATTTTCATAAAGTGCTCGTACTGATAGAACAGTGATAAAATGCAATATATGCTGCATAAATGTTGTTGCGAAGGTCTGAAGAAATAATATGGGGTCGTGTTTATGAGAGGCAGGAATTGAATATTTTATTCGACAGAAGTGACCTTGAAAACAATTTGTTTGTTCTATTATGTGAAGTTTTTCTGAAATGGAATCATCTCCCATTTCTGTTTCACTCTCTTCCTCATCCGAACTAAAATCGTTTTTTTTACCTGAAGTGAACC